GAGTTTGGATTTAACTCTGATTTTGGCAAAGAAAGTGTATATCTTGCTGTATGCTAATCTTTACTGGAGAGAAAGAGGGTTAATGCAAACCCTGTTGATTCTGCCACATATTTTAGCAGCTTTACTTGTTGACTTTAGATTGAGCAATTAATTAATTAATTGTCATTGACCATAATGTCCTTCTGGAGAAAGTATGTAATATAAGTGTTGATAGCTTTATGACAGCTCTGCTCATACTTGAAGGTTGTGTGTGGGGGTTCCAATTAACCCTGTGCTATCTACACTATGAGGTTCCGCAAGTTTCTATTCCAACCCTCATTTATATGAAAAGGGTAAATGATGTCAGTTGGATATTTACAGTGAAGCATTATCAATATGCTGATGACATGCAACTCTAGCTCTTCTTTCCATCAGACCCAGGTTGTAGCAGCACTGCTTAATTAGCGCCCAGCTACAATAATGTATTGGATGTGATCAGTACACTGAAGCACAATTCACAGAACATAGAAGTGATGCCAATGGATGGTTTGTTTAGATGAATTTTTGCATTTCCTAATGGGTTACGTTTGTAGCTTGGGGAGCTTTTAGATCTATATCTATCATTACAGGCCAACTATCCTCAGTAGCACTATTAGTAGTTTAGGCTGTGTACTAACTAAACCCTATTTGGATAGAGATGCCCTTGTTTCAGTAATCCATGCAACTTCTCATCCAGATTACTGTAGCATAGGATAATCCTTGCATAGAGTTGGAAACTTCAGTTAGTACCAAATATTGTAGCAAGCATACTGACAGGAACTGGGGATTCTGACCATATTGTGTGGATCTGACATATCTTTACTGGCTCCCAGTTTATTTCCATTCGCAATTTGAGATGTTGGTAATAATATATTCAACAGTAAAGGAACAAACAGTCAAGAAATATGCCACAAACTAGCACTTGGTAGAGCAGCCACAAAAGCCTTGGAAAAGATATTCAGATGTTGTGATGCGTTTATACCTATAAAGATCAGAATAGTGCAAGCCATGGTATTCCCTGTGACACTCTATGGAACTGAAAGTTGGACTTTGAAGCAGCAGAATAGAAAGAGCATTGACTCTTTTGAACTTCAGTGTTGGAGAAGACTCCTGAGAATACCATGGACAGCCGAGAAAGCAAACCAATGGATTATCAACCAAATCAGCCCAGAGTTCTGACTTGAGGCACAGATGACCAGGCTCAAATTATCCTACTTCAGACACATTATACAAAGACTTAGCTGTCTAGAGAAGGCTTTAATGCTGAGAAAGGTGGAAGGAAAGAGAAGAGGACAACCAGCAGCAAGGTGGATGGACTCAGTTACAGTAGTGATGAGTGCACCTCTGGAAGACCTGAAAGACCAGGTTAGGGACACACCATCATGGAGAAAAATCTATCTATATGGTCACTAAGAGTTGACACCACTTGATGGCACATAATCAATCTACCAATCATTCAATCACATATAAAGTCCTTCATGGTTTGGGATCACAGGAGCTGAAGGAATATTTCTTCTCATATAGTTTTACCTATCCTTTAAGTTTCTTCTAGAATCCCTGATTAAAGTGTTTTCCATGTGGAAGTCAAGAGGCTACTTGGCAGCAGGTCTTCTTCGTAGTAGTGGAAGAAGTAGGGGACCCTGGAAGGACCATAAAGTTGGCACCTGGCATGTCTCATCTGGAAGTGCCCACCCAGATGAGACATGCCAACTTTATGGTCCTTCCAGGCTCAGACAAAGATGTTCATATTCCCCCATGTCTTTTGGACTTGTAAAAAAGCCAGAAATTTCTGGGTTCAAATATGATACAAAGAGTTTTAAAGATCAACATTCAGCTGAAACCAGAACTTTTCTTGCTGGGATTAACGGACAGCCAATTAAAAAACAGCCACGGAAGAATATTTTTATATATGACTACTGCTACAAGACTATTATATGCACAAAAATGGAAAGACTCTGAAATACCCACAATGGAGGAAAAGTTGGTGAAGATGACAAGACTAGCAGAGATGGCAAAATTAACTTGTTTGTTTAGAGAAAGATCAACAACTATCAATTTATCAGTGACTGGAACCACTTATGGACTTTTTGTTGAAAAAAGAAAAAAAATTAGCTTGTGATTTACAGGTTTGAAGATTAGAAAGGGTAGCTTATGGAAAGAAGGAAATTATTATGTAACTTTAGAGAGAGAGGGCAAAATATAAATGTATTTATAATCTCTGTCAAGAAGATCGGAAGCTGCTTCTTTTTAATCTCTCTTTTCCTTTTCTCTTTTCTTTTTTCACTGTTTACTAGTTTTCTTTATTATCTTTCTTTTCTTCTTTTCTTTTCTTTTATGGTTTTTACTTTGTTAAAAATTTCTTCAA